GCGAGTGTTAGATAGTGTTCTGCTGTTTGGGACCAAAGGTTTACAGCGCATTGTCCCCATACACTTTTTTCCATAAGACTTCCTCTGTATACAAATTTAATAGTGCAGTTTTCGTCTCATACCGTGTCTTATAAGCCTCCTTGAAATTCTGCCGTGAAGACTCAATGCTGTTTTTGTAAGCACCTGTCTCAGGATCAATAAAGTGGAGACTGTGGTTGACAGTCTCATGCTGGTATCCATCTGGTGCGTGCTCGACAGTCCTGAATGCATCGCACTGGTTAGGCGCTATAGTTTCTCCTGGAACAACATACTGCATGATCAGTGACAGACGGGTATCAGCAACTCGTGGCTCTACTGGAACAACAAAACATTCATTAATGGGATGTCGAGACAAAGTTTCTGAACTGAATTTGTCTTTATCAATCTCGTCTTATAAGGCCGAAGAACACTAAGGTGACTGGCTAGTTGGAGAGCGATTCATCAATGCTATATTAAGACAAAGTTTTTGAACTGAACTCGTCTTATAAGGTGACTTGCAAGGGGGAGAGGGTCATGCAACTTAGTCTTTTTGGATGTGAGAATCACAGCAACTGGTTGGAAAGCGGAAGCCGTAGCAGGGAAAGTTGAAGCAGTACCACTGCGCCAGATTAGGACACTCGCGGAAGCGTTTTAAGATATACATAAAGATGTATATAAGCGAGCAGAGAAGATACGGCGGCGCAAGAGGGCTTCGCTTCGCTCAGCTCTGCCGCGCCGTCGCCTTTTCTTTGCTACTGTTCCCTTCTGCTTCCTGCGCTCACCTCCCCGTTTGTTGCCCTGCCTTCCACTGTCCCCCTCCTCGACTTTCGGGCCAGAAAATAGTTACCGAATCAGCGTGCTTTGGTCGACGATTGACAAAAATTACTAAAACCTACTCTTAGTCTGGTATTTTATCAAAAAAAAACTGCAGAATCAGAAGTCTGAGATCACGAATGGTACCAGACATTGCTAAGTATTAAAGAGAAGCAAGTATAGAGCTAAAAATGGCAACGATATGCGGTACTGCAACTGGAAGAAAACGATGTTTAAAGTAAAGTGATATTGCCTAGGTGTAACCTTCAGTGGTAACAGATAAAGAGCTATAGTAGTTCTTCATGTAGACGAAAGTTCGCTTATTCGTTCTCATTTGGGTTTTTCTGCACATCTTCATGTAAAACTGTTACTGATTAAGAAATGCTACTGCAGAGGAAACAAAAATGCTCTGAATGTATGTTTTTAGAATTACTGCTGTGATGGACATTGCAGAAGTTTTTGAGAATTGATTTGATTAATAAAAAAGAACAACAGAACTGTTTAGTTATATGAGACTGAGACGAAGTTTGAGGTTATGCTACAGTAGAATAAAACAAGCTTGAAGATAGAGGAAAGTGTTGGTTCAGATACAGACTAGAAGGCTAAATTTTATTACCACCTCGATTCAGCAACACTATAAACAATCACCTCAAATTCTCAACTATAGCTCCTTTCTTCTCTCGCTTTCCAATTTCTATTTGATGCTGCTCTATGCAACTGTTTGCTGTTCAATCGCCAACAACATTAAGTGAATTTTCACGTCACAGTAACCTCGGTTTTTCAGTTTAAATGCTAACTATAATAACTCTTGATCAGCCTACGCTTAATTTCTACGCTTAATTTACTAAGTATGAAAAAAATTCTTTTTTTGTATTTTTCTTCTAATAAATTAAATGGTAAATGAAAGTTGTTTTAGATAAGCAAAAAAAAAATTAGCGATTATGTGCAAAATAATCTCAATGATAATCTTGTTTTTATGCTTATTTAACTTACATTAACCGGTTTAACTCGTCTACATATAATGAATTTCTTTACCATTATCAAATTTATAGTTGTGTTTCATGTTAGGTTACCTTTTCACAAATGATTTCAGCGATCTACAAATACTGAAAATTACTTATATAAAACTTGAACG